CCCATATTAGCAAGTGATAAGGCCAAAGAGAATATATATATTACCTATAATTAATTAGCACAGTTAATGTATTCTTTGATGTGTTATATATAAGAGTTAATAAAAAGTAATCTATTGGATAAAATGAATAAGAAAAGATAGATTTTATATATTTTCTCTCTTATACAAACATCACAGAGGAGCGCTTTACATTATTCTACGAATGATCCGAATGATTCGAATGATCCGAATGATTCGAATGATCCGAATGATCCGAATGATTCGTTTGATCCGATTGATTCGTTCATAGTTTTGGCGGCTTCCCTTATTTGATAGTAGATACCACGCACTTAGAACTTCTATGGTTGTGAATTTCAGACCCAGACCCGAGGTATTTAAAATATCTGTCAATCCAAAAAGTATAAGACAACGTGAATATGTAGATTTAACAATTACGAGAGGTAATTCCATCACTTTACTACGATCTGGGACATACGACTTATACAGACGCTCGGTGGATACATTTTCCGGAGAGCCCCTTACTTTCTCGATGTGACATGTAGGAGTGGGGAAAGCACATGAAACATAACTTATCGACCGTCTTGATCATCATGGCGACGTCTGTTTTCTTTCTGACCGTGCACTGACAGTGGCTGGCAACTCTGCATTTTCCATTTGAAGATCGCAAAAATCGATTTTATTAAATTTCTATCTAATTTAGTTCAGCACTGAGCGAGCATCAAATTTTCTAATGAGACAGCAGATAACTATCTCAATCTGTAGATGGTCATATTAAGCAAACACTTTCTTTTACGAGCCACTCTCACTGCTGTTTTTAAATAATTACAGATATTGGTTTTGACGTCTCAGTACTTGTACCGATGACAAACAATCTATAATTTCATAACTGTTTGTGTTTACACACTGCTTGAGGGAAATAAGCAATATTATAGCATAAAAATAAATACGTACGAAGATGAATATTTTTTTTTGTGTTTTTCATAATCATAAATTGTTCAAAATTTCTGTTATCAGTTTTTGTTTTAAATAGATTCTGAATTTCTTGTGTTTCAGCTAAATCCAATGGTGTACGGCCGTCTTTCATTCTTATTGTAGACGACGCACCATGATCTAATAAAAGAGATATAATTTCTTGATGACCAAAATATGTTGCATAATGTAATGCTGTAACATGGTCTGGTTCCAATTTATGATTAATTTCTTGAATAGTTAATTGCTCAAGAAATAATTCTACCAAATAGATATTATTATTACAACAAGCACGTGCAAATTGTTCAATGGTTGTTTCTTCCATCTTTCGTTTTTAATTTTCCAACATGCGTGTTTTTTACTTCTTGTTAGTGAAATGAATTTAAAAAAAGTGTCTGTAAGAATAGAAACGAAAAAAAGGAGAGAAGAATTTATGAATTGCATTCGAGTGACTCATCAAGTATACAAAGAAGTTACCTGTTAGAATTATTCATCTGACTTCCTATATTTACCCATATAAAAAATTTATTGCTTGTCATTTGAAAGCATTGAAAGAAAAAGAAACACTTTAGCTGTTTTAAAAAAGTTAATAACGAGTGGCGTAGATAAGATGAATCACTTTTGTTTCGATGTTTCAGCCCTGATTCAAGTTTGTTGTTGATCCAAAATGCATACAGTTTTCTGTTCTACAAAATCGTCCTATATATTTATCTACTGTACTTTTTCTATATCAGAAGTTCGTGCAGGTCAAAAAATTTCAACCAGTGATCGACGAAATTTTTGTGGATCTACCATTGCTTTATAAGTACTAGAGATCACAGGCTGGGCCGGGTCAGAAAATTTTATAGAGTGGAATACATGTAATAATACATCCAATACATTCGGATGTTATCATACTTGACGTTGAGGCATTTTAATATTAATTGCGGAGAAATGAATGAATTTTTGACGAATATTGATGGCGTAACATTTGAAACAACTCCCCAATGGACATAATTATCTATTAATGGTGACTTAAACTTTATTGACTGATTCCATCATATAGTATCATTATACCTCTAATTTCTATTCTTCTTCCATATAGGTATGCAACAGTTACGGTTAACTGTAACAGTTTTTAAGGATGAAAATTTAACCATAAACGAATATGACACAATATCCTGAGCAAAAATACAAGGATTTTCTTTTTCGATATTCTGTCTTTCGTATAAATTTGGAGTCGATCAGACATTGCCTTATAAGCCAAGGGGCCAAAAAGACAAGGACATCCTTAAAAACTGTTACAGTTAACCGTAACTGGTGCATACCTATATGGAAGAAGCAACAACAATGATGCATTTAACACAAGTTCTTTTATGTTTTCATAAACTGATTTTTTGTTTTCAGTTGAAATGGATGAAGCTAAATCATCACAATAAATTTACTATCTAAAAATGAACTGATTAGAAAAAT